ATTGAAATCGGGGGAGAGGGGTCGGGGGAGGCGTTTGTCGAACGGATATCTCGCGATTCCTTTGATTCCTTTGTGTTCGTGAAGCGAGGCCGCTTTAAGGAGACGCCACACTTGAAAACTTTACTGGCGGAATACACATTTCTTTCGGTGAATTTGGCGACACACACACCGAAAACTTCGCCTCACTTTACTCTTGAGCTTTTGCCAAAATTTTGGAGGGAGGGAGACAGTCCGTGCGAACTTGTGCATATTGATTATGCGTTCACACGAACCTTTTCGTTCTTCCTTGTTCTCCCCGACGGTCATCCTTGAGAAAGTTTCTCTTGTTACATCGGCATTGTGTACATAGCACGACAGTGTATTGCTGAACGAACGAGATGAAGTTGAGAGCGGTTATATAGGTGCGGAAGTTAAATCTAAAAATATATTTTGTGTACATTGTCAAATGAAAGGTAATGAAAGATGGGTCGTTAGAGGTAAATTAAGCTCGTTTCGCAACGAGACGCTCTCGTTGCGGCGAGATTCGACGCCATTGATTAGCGATAATTCAAGCATTAATTTTCATTAACTATCGGGTATCGAACTTTCCTGCCGTGTTATGTGGCCCTCGAGTATTCTCCGAGGAATCCGCGGCACATCGATTTTCCCTCGAGATCCGGTGTCCTCAATGAGGAGATAACCGGCGAGTTTAGAGGGTTGCTTACAAGTGGTTGTGTATCACGCGAAAATAAGTTACGACACTAAAGCTTATCGTTATGAACTGTCGAAACTGCGAATCCGCGTTAATAATGTAATTAGCGAAGTTACATAATCACTTGTTCTTTTGCGAATCAGTTTTACGTCCCATACATCGGTAGTTACTTGTTGTTAAATCACCACTCGACGATATTTCGTTACTCCTGTTTAATTATTATTAATTTGTATGTACATATATATATATATATATATATATATATATATACAGGGGGTTTCAAATCATTGCACGTTTTTAAAATGACGTATTCTTTGCAACATTCTAAGGCAGAAGTTGAAGTTTGAAAATGGTGTGAGACTGCAATAATTTTTAAGCTACAACTATTAAAGGTAGTATATAATTATTAAATAGTGTTAGCTAATATATATTATCACATATAGATTATTAATTATGATTATTAAAAATAAATTAAATTATTATAATATAATAAAATTATTAACGACTAAAGTTGATTAATCGTACGGCTGATATTTTTCCACGTTCGGGTATGCTAGTATGGATGATAATAAGGGTGCGAACATGATAAAAACGGATTTTTTGAAAACTTTTGTACAAATATTGTTTTCGTAAAGAGAATAGTGCCAACAGTAACTTCGATTCTTTTGTGTCATACGATTTGGAAATTGCCTTACGCATTCCCGTATAGCGGAATGCAGAATATGAATTCTATGTGACCACATTCACTAGTAGATTATTATTATGATGATTTACCACTTTGCCTTACCACAAAACTTTTTATCATATGAATCAAATAACTATGAAGTTTAATTTGACAGCTGACTCGTATAACATTCAAATTCAACTCAATTTGTATTCAATACCAGCATTTTTAAGTTTTCCATAATACTGACGTGCGCCACGTTTAAACGAAACCATTTTTTTTTACGAAAATTATATTGCACATTTTGTACACAAATTTTTGTGAATCCGTTTTATCATGAGAGCATCCTTATTACGGTTCATATTACCATATCTAAACGCGCGAAATGTCAGCTGTATGATTAATCTCAAATTTAATCGATTATAATTTAAAAATGATTGTAACTTCGCTATTTTCGTACTGGAACTTACGTCTTAGAATGTTCCAAAAATTTATCATGTTAAGAACATACAGTGGTCTTTAGTACACGTGCAAAATTGTCCACTTTTTAAAGTCTGCTTGTGCTAACAAAATTTATGTTAGAAAAGAAAGAAAACAAAGTTAAATCTTAACTTATTTTCGATTAAGATGAGAATTCGCTTGAAACAATTTTTTCTTCAATTCCTGATCTATTTTTCTCACACACGAGGTGTACAGTTGCGAAATATGCGTCGTTGCGACGCTAAAATTGTCATTGCATGACACGAACGATTCGTCGCTGCTTTGCGGAATGTTTGAAAAAAAAAGAATAGTGACAAAAAACTGTGCAGTGTTCCATATTTCGCGCAATATGCAACCGTCGCAACATGATTTTTACATCTGTCTAAACGTCTCGCGGTAATGCCGTGAAACGGAATTCGCTGCACCGGCAATCGGTGAGCATCCAATCCGGCGCGTCCGTGTAACGATATTCGCAGTCTTTTCGCCGTCGTAACTTGCTCCTTGAACTCGCGTATGAACGTGCAGCTCGTTCCTTCGCCGAACGAAGTCAGAAATTGTAACACTGTATTCCTAAAAATTTCCCCTCAGTGCAATTTATGCCGCTGTAACGGTTGCTCGATGAACGACGGTCGCATCTTCGCAGGTCAAGGAAAACGGTAAATAGGGTGCGAAATCATCTTTAAGAAATACAGTTTCTTAATCGATCGGTTGTAAACTCGGCGAGTCAGGTAATCTTGATTTCTCTCTCAGCTATTTTATTTATTGTGCATATTTATTGTACATACGCCGCAGCAAAGGAAAAATTAATTTATCAGGTATTATTATTTATTATGTTTAAAGCAAATAAACGAATATACAAATAAAAACAGTATATTGTATATTACTATAAAAAAATTGGAAATACGAAATATTTATTTTTTATATTTAACAGAAAAACTTTTAGAAATCCTCATATTTTTGCCATATATTCCATAAGGATAGAATATACGGCTTATTAAAAATTTACAAATAATACTTATAAATAAGACGCAAAATGATATAATAACTTATAAAATATGTGTAAAAAATTGATTGGAATAAGTGTGGTATATACGCCGAAAGTAATTTATTAATGTTTAACATAAATAAAAATTCTATGCTGTTAACAAAAATAAAATGAAATGTTAATTTATTCTCGATTAAGGTGGGAATTGGCTCGAAATAATTTTCTCCTCAATTCCGAATCTGTTTTTAGCACACGTGCAGCTGCGAAATACGCGTCATTGCGACGCTTAAATTGTCATTGCGTGACACGAACGATTCATCGCTGCTTTGCGGAATGTTCGAAAGAAAAAAAAAATACTGACAAAAGACTGCGCAGTATTCTACATTTCGCGCAATATATTACCGTCGCAATGCGATTTTTATATTCGCCTAATTTGCTATATCAGCAACATATTTTTTCTGTGCATCTTTACTTATATCAATTCTTTTTTTTAATTAATTTGTATCTCGGTCACAAAAGTAGCATACGCGCTCGATGTTTCCGCTTATATCGCTTCTTCGTCTGTTCTCCCACGAATTATGAGGAAACTTTGAAGAATTCTGTCTCTCGCGCGGATCGCGTTCACGTGAACGAGATCAGCGAAGACCCGTGTAATCCGTCAGAAAACACAATGTAAAGAGTCGCGATGTAAAAGGAAAGAAGAGAAAAACAGAGAACGAAGTGAAGAAGTGGCGGGAGGAGAACGGGGGAAGGGGAGGGAAGAGGAAGTGGCGGGTGTCTCGGAAAGCAGCGTGGAAAGTGTTTAACCCGATGAACGTGACCGTTCGAGGTCGCGATCGCCGTTAAGCCGATTTAAGAGTGCACGTACGAACGTTCCTCGGGCGCAACGGAGCGGATAATGACGTTAAGAGGATTCCGAAGCTCCCACGTGGGGACCACCTCACGTGCCGCATAGCCGCGAGGCTCCCCCGCACTCGCTCTCGTTTTCCTTGTCCTCGTCGCTCGCGAAAGACGCGTCACGCTTCGATGCGCCTGTAACCGTGAGAACTCGCGTCCTCTTCGACGGTGATCGCGAGGAACGCGCGTACACGTCGCGGTATACGGCATTGATATCTCGCTGAATTCTGCTCCCGCTCGGAACTGACTCTTAACGAGTCTGACGAATTTCTTGATATACTCAGTGAATAGTTCGGGGGTAGATCGATATCTCGATTGATACCTGATCGTTTTGAGGGGAGAAGATAACAGCCGGTTTGGCGGTTATGGTGATGACGGTGATGGTGGAGCGATTGTTGCAATTGGCTCGTGCGGTTCTCAGCATTGCGTACAATGTAGAAAGTGGGTAATAATTGTTATATCATTTAGAGTACTTTCAAAATGTAAGAATAGGAGAAGTTTATAGGGGAAAGATTATCTAATAGAAATCGCGTTGATATTACCGATGATCATCATCATATCGATTCGGGCACTTTCCAAGTGTCATCCTTTTTCATCTTCATCTAGTAGTTAATAAAATATTTTTATTTATTTTTCAGAGATGTTTAAGGTGGTAATGATTATTGTCTCACTTTGTATATTATACCTACATTGAGAAGAAGATTCCTTCAGATTTAATAAATTTTATTGCATCCAAAGAAATTTCATCACTGGCGTGCTCCAAAGAAACTGATGTTTCGATTAATAAGTGCGATTGTTAGATTCTTCAATGAATCTTTATCTTAAATAAAAAATTTGCTCGAAACGAAAGAAATTATTCGTTTCACTTTACATATTTATCGTGACCAAATATTTTATTTGGTTAAGAGATATTATTTCAAGTAATAACGCTCTTACCGTTAGATAATGGAATTTTCTTGAATGGGGACAATAAAATTATTATTCAAGCAAATAATATTTCGTAAATAATAAATATATGTTGTTTCGGTGGAACAAATTTTAGTCAAATAAATAGAAATATTAAATCTAAGAAACCTTTTCCTCTGTGTATATTTTTGATTAATTAATACTTTTATTTCGTGCAGGTTCTTATCAGGTTCTTTCAAAATTTCGTCAAATCGACGATGACTTGAATATTGTTTGAACGTTGGTGGCATAACGAATGAAAAAAATTATTCTCTATATACATACACACACACACACACATACACATAAATTACTTAAACGCGATAAATTTGTTTCAGTTATCTGGAGATATATAACGAAAAGGTACGGGATCTCCTCAAACCATCGGCGACTGCGAGCGGGCTGAGAGTTCGGGAACACCCTCGACTAGGACCTTATGTTCAAGGTATGTTTTGCTCAGGTGCAACGACCAGAAATGAATTTTTGGTCTTGCGTTTGCAAACATCTGGAAAAAAGTGACGGATCACGTAGAAATTTTCGCGCAAAATTTTTCAATCAAAATACGATATAAAACTTCGTACATTATACGATAAGAACTGCCGGCGCTCTTTATTTCCATATCTGAATATATTCTCGTATTTTTATGCAATGATCCATTGCGTATTAAAGCGCAATTTGATTTTGATTCGCACGAATTGTAAAGAAATGAAACCGAGATCGCGTATTATAATAAATATTTTGTTTCCGACGGTATAAGGAAACGTGAGAATTATGATTTGAATTTTATAATTTTTATAACTTATAATTTTTAATTTTATAATTTTCACAAATTTCATAATTTTGTATTTTTTTTTAATGTTCTAAGAACGTTTTTATAATATGCCAAGAATATTATGCCGACGTATAACATAAATCGATTATTCCTACAATATTAAAAAATATTACGTCCTACAATATTAAAAAATATTACATCCTTAGAATATTACAAGAATATTATTTTAATATTAAATAATATTCATATAATATTCTAGGAAAATTACGCGCTTATAAGGTTGATCTCGTCTGTCTTTCCGATTCGCTCCACCGCTCGTCCTGGTCGCGCTCAGTTTCAACAGCGAAATCCGGTGAAACGGGATATTGTCGACGAGCCCCGTGCCACTTCCTCTTCGGCTCACAAGAGCTCTGTCGCTTTCAGGGTTGACGCACCACGTGGTCCGCACCCTGGGGTCGTTGATGTCATACGTGGAGGAGGGCACGAAGGCCAGGAAGACAGCGTCGACCCTCCAGAACCCCAGCAGCAGCCGTAGCCACGCGTTGCTCACCGTCGGCCTCTCGCAGGAGGCAGCCAACGGCGAGCGGACTCTCGGCGTCTGCAGGAGGCAGGACGCCGCTCCGCGCGGCGGCAGCAAGTTGCACCTGGTCGATCTGGCGGGCAGCGAGAGCGCGGCCACCTGCGGCGGCGTTCATCGACTGAAGGTGAGTCATTTCCTAAAAATAATATCGTCAGCCGGGATATCCGCCGAGGCGGAATTTCGCGATGAGAATCGATACTCGCGAGCTCGCGAGCGCGCGGATCGAGCTTGCCGCTCGGGTTATCAATCTCCCGCCGACCGCCATTATACGCTAATGGACTCGCCTAATCGAGCACGACCGACTTGAACCGGCTTGCTCGCGGACGAAGAGGAAGAAGCGGCCGAGCGTGAGGAAGCGCCGAATGCGGAGAAAGCTCCCTTGTGTACTTCGTTCGAGACGTTTCGTCGCCTCGTTATCCGTTCAACTCATCTCTCGAAGGAGCTACATGTTGCCGTTTTGTTACAGCTGCCGGAGGGACCTTAGTTATCAAATCACGGAGATCCTTGGTTGATATTCTCGATGCTCTTATTCCGAGTGTAGTTTGTGCGTGACGAGTGTGATCAGCGTGAGATTCGCGCTTCACCGTGCGCGATAATTCCGTGTCAAAATGAAACCGCTTCGACCGAGAGAAATCGGACTCGACACGCGCGACGTGAAGCGTACAGCGTGAATTACCTGTCTGTTTTGTGAGCTGATCCAATCGCGTTCTTAATGTTCACGTTTGTGAGCGAACATTAACAATGCCGTCTGTAGTGCGGAAGGAATCATCGCGCCGTCGGCGTCGCGGAGACTCGGCCATCGCCGGCGGTGTTGCTCGTGCGAGCGCGAGAGTACGTCTCGTTTTTACCCAAAACCAACATTTCGCACGTTAGAGTGACGAATTTCGCACAATGCAACAACGCATGCACGACCGCCGACGGACCTTTCTCCCTCCCTCCCTGACGTTTTTTCCTCGTCAATCCGTGAAAAAAAAGGCGAAACAACGCCACAACCAAATCCCGTGATATTTGATATTTGGCTTGCAAAAAATCGAGGAAGTTATGATGTTACTGAATACAGACGGAAGAAACGCCGCTGTAAAATTCACCGTTTATCATCGTTAGCCGTATCGATCGATTGTCTACCTAGTTATCAGCGTCGTTATCAATCGGCGTAAGCCAATCGGTATCGCGAAATAAAACGATTTCATCTCATGTTGGGGGATAAGAATGTTATCATATAACTTAATCGGCAATACAATGGGATCATAATTGGATAACCACACGAGATAACTATTGAGTGTTTTTTAGATCAGAATTTATGCCATGCATATGAGAAAATCTGGAGAAATTTCTACGCGGGTTCCGTACCGATAAATGGATAAAATAAGACGGGGTGGTCATCGTTCGCTTTGATCTCGCGACGCGCGACTGATCTTCGGCCATTAATTCTGACATTACCTTTCGCTGTGGTTTAAAGGAGGGCATGAATATCAACAAGAGCTTAGTGGCTTTGGGGAACGTGATATCCGCACTCGCCGAGAGAGGCTCGACCGGAAGCGGGCCGGGCAGAAGATACATCCCTTACAGAGATTCCTCGCTTACTTGGCTGCTGAAGGATGCACTCGGCGGAAATGCTACCACCATTATGCTCGCCAGTAAGTGTGTTCTGCCGCTCTTTTTCTTTTGATCT